GTGAAGAAGCTCATTGGTAGCTTGATGGGGATGGCATTGAATCTATAAATTACCTTGGGCAGTATGGCCATTTTCATGATATTGATTCTTACTATCCATGAGCATGGTATGTTCTTCCATTTGTTTATGTCCTCTTTTATTTCACTGAGCAGTGGTTTGTAGTTCTCCTTGAAGAGGTCCTTTACATCCCTTGTAAGTTGGATTCCTAGGTATTTTATTCTCTTTGAAGCAATTGTGAATGGAAGTTCATTCCTGATTTGGCTCTCTGTTTGTCTGTTACTGGTGTATAAGAATGCTTGTGATTTTTGCACATTAATTTTGTATCCTGAGACTTTGCTGAAGTTGCTTATCAGCTTAAGGAGATTTTGGGCTGAGACAATGGGGTTTTCTAAATATACAATCATGTCATCTGCAAACAGGGACAATTTGACTTCTTCTTTTCCTAGCTGAATCCCCTTGATTTCTTTCTCTTGCCTGATTGCCCTAGCCAGAACTTCCAACACTGTGTTGAATAGGAGTGGTGAGAGAGGGCATCCCTGTCTTGTGCCAGTTTTCAAAGGGAAATTTTCCAGTTTTTGCCCATTCAGTATGATATTGGCTGTGGGTTTGTCATAAATAGCTCTTATTATTTTGAGGTACGTTCCATCAATACCGAATTTATTGAGCGTTTTTAGCATGAAGGGCTGTTGAATTTTGTCAAAAGCCTTTTCTGCATCTATTGAGATAATGATGTGGTTCTTGTCTTTGGTTCTGTTTATATGCTGGCTTATGTTTATTGATTAGCGAATGTTGAACCAGCCTTGCATCCCAGGGATGAAGCCCACTTGATCCTGGTGGATAAGCTTTTTGATGTGTTGCTGAATCCGGTTTGCCAGTATTTTATTGAGGATTTTTGCATCGATGTTCATCAGGGATATTGGTCTAAAATTCTCTTTTTTTGTTGTGTCTCTGCCAGGCTTTGGTATCAGGATGATGTTGGCCTCATAAAATGAGTTAGGGAGGATTCCCTCTTTTTCTATTGATTGGAATAGTTTCAGAAGGAATGGTACCAACTCCTCCTTGTACCTCTGGTAGAATTCAGCTGTGAATCCATCTGGTCCTGGACTTTTTTTGGTTGGTAGGCTATTAATTATTGCCTCAATTTCAGAGCCTGCTATTGGTCTATTCAGGGATTCAACTTCTTCCTGGTTTAGTCTTGGAAGAGTGTAAGTGTCCAGGAAATTATCCATTTCTTCTAGATTTTCCAGTTTATTTGCGTAGAGGTGTTTATAGTATTCTCTGATGGTAGTTTGTATTTCTGTGGGGTCGGTGGTGATATCCCCTTTATCATTTTTTATTGCGTCTATTTGATTCTTCTCTCTTTTCTTCTTTATTAGTCTTGCTAGTGGTCTGTCAATTTTGTTGATCTTTTCAAAAAACCAACTCCTGGATTCATTGATTTTTTGGAGGGTTTTTTGTGTCTCTATCTCCTTCAGTTCTGCTCTGATCTTAGTTATTTCTTGCCTTCTGCTAGCTATCGAATGTGTTTGCTCTTGCTTCTCTAGTTCTTTTAATTGCGATGTTAGAGTGTCAATTTTAGATCTTTCCTGCTTTCTCTTGTGTGCATTTAGTGCTATAAATTTCCCTCTACACACTGCTTTAAATGTGTCCCAGAGATTCTGGTATGTTGTATCTTTGTTCTCATTGGTTTCAAAGAACATCTTTATTTCTGCCTTCATTTCGTTATGTACCCAGTAGTCATTCAGGAGCAGGTTGTTCAGTTTCCATGTAGTTGAGCGGTTTTGATTGCGTTTCTTAGTCCTGAGTTCTAGTTTGATTGCACTGTGGTCTGAAAGACAGTTTGTTATAATTTCTGTTCTTGTACATTTGCTGAGGAGTGCTTTACTTCCAATTATGTGGTCAATTTTGGAGTAAGTACGATGTGGTGCTGAGAAGAATGTATATTCTGTTGATTTGGGGTGGAGAGTTCTATAGATGTCTATTAGGTCTGCTTGCTGCAGAGAAGAGTTCAATTCCTGGATATCCTTGTTAACTTTCTGTCTCGTTGATCTGTCTAATGTTGACAGTGGAGTGTTGAAGTCTCCCATTATTATTGTATGGGAGTCTAAGTCTCTTTGTAAGTCTCTAAGGACTTGCTTTATGAATCTGGGTGCTCCTGTATTGGGTGCATATATATTTAGGATAGTTAGCTCTTCCTGTTGAATTGATCCCTTTACCATTATGTAATGGCCTTCTTTGTCTCTTTTGATCTTTGATGGTTTAAAGTCTGTTTTATCAGAGACTAGTATTGCAACCCCTGCTTTTTTTTGTTCTCCATTTGCTTGGTAAATCTTCCTCCATCCCTTTATTTTGAGCCTATGTATGTCTCTGCGTGTGAGATGGGTCTCCTGAATACAGCAGACTGATGGGTCTTGACTCTTTATCCAGTTTGCCAGTCTGTGTCTTTTAATTGGAGCATTTAGTCCATTTACATTTAAGGTTAAGATTGTTATGTGTGAACTTGATCCTGCCATTATGATATTAACTGGTTATTTTGCTCGTTAGTTGATGCAGTTTCTTCCAAGCCTTGATGGTCTTTACATTTTGGCATGCTTTTGCAATGGCTGGTACCGGTTGTTCCTTTCCATGTTTAGTGCTTCCTTCAGGGTCTCTTGTAAGGCAGGCCTAGTGGTGACACAATCTCTAAGCATTTGCTTATCTGTAAAGGATTTTATTTCTCCTTCACTTATGAAACTTAGCTTGGCTGGATATAAAATTCTGGGTTTAAAATTCTTTTCTTTAAGAATGTTGAATATTGGCCCCCACTCTCTTCTGGCTTGTAGAGTTTCTGCCGAGAGATCTGCTGTTAGTCTGATGGGCTTCCCTTTGTGGGTAACCCGACCTTTCTCTCTGGCTGCCCTTAAGATTTTTTCCTTCATTTCAACTTTGGTGAATCTGGCAATTATGTGTCTTGGAGTTGCTCTTCTCAAGGAGTATCTTTGTGGCATTCTCTGTATTTCCTGAACTTGAATGTTGGCCTGCCCTACTAGGTTGGGGAAGTTCTCCTGGATGATATCCTGAAGAGTGTTTTCCAACTTGGTTCCATTTTCCCCCTCACGTTCAGGCACCCCAATCAGACGTAGATTTGGTCTTTTTACATAATCCCATACTTCTTGCAGGCTTTGTTCATTTCTTTTTCTTCTTTTTTCTTTTGGTTTCTCTTCTCGCTTCATTTCATTCATTTGATCCTCAATCGCTGACATTCTTTCTTCCAGTTGATCGAGTCGGTTACTGAAGCTTGTGCATTTGTCACGTATTTCTCGTGTCATGGTTTTCGTCTCTTTCATTTCGTTTATGACCTTCTCTGCATTAATTACTCTAGCCATCAATTCTTCCACTTTTTTTTCAAGATTTTTAGTTTCTTTGCGCTGGGTACGTAATTCCTCCTTTAGCTCTGAGAAATTTGATGGACTGAAGCCTTCTTCTCTCATCTCGTCGAAGTCATTCTCCGTCCAGCTTTGATCCGTTGCTGGCGATGAGCTGCGCTCCTTTGCCGGGGGAGATGCGCTCTTATTTTTTGAATTTCCAGCTTTTCTGCCCTGCTTTTTCCCCATCTTTGTGGTTTTATCTGCCTCTGGTCTTTGACGATGGTGATGTACTGATGGGGTTTTGGTGTAGGTGTCCTTCCTGTTTGATAGTTTTCCTTCTAACAGTCAGGACCCTCAGCTGTAGGTCTGTTGGAGATTGCTTGAGGTCCACTCCAGACCCTGTTTGCCTGGGTATCAGCAGCAGAGGCTGCGGAAGATAGAATATTTCTGAACAGCGAGTGTACCTGTCTGATTCTTGCTTTGGAAGCTTCCTCTCAGGGGTGTACTCCACCCTGTGAGGTGTGGGGTGTCAGACTGCCCCTAGTGGGGGATGTCTCCCAGTTAGGCTACTCAGGGGTCAGGGACCCACTTGAGCAGGGAGTCTGTCCCTTCTCAGATCTCAACCTCCGTGTTGGGAGATCCACTGCTCTCTTCAAAGCTGTCAGACAGAGTCGTTTGTGTCTGCAGAGCTTTCTGCTGCGTTTGTTATTGTTTACTGTGCCCTGTCCCCAGAGGTGGAGTCTGCAGAGACAGGCAGGTTTCCTTGAGCTGCTGTGAGCTCCACCCAGTTTGAGCTTCCCAGCAGCTTTGTTTACCTACTTAAGCCTCAGCAATGGCAGGTGCCCCTCCCCCAGCCTCGCTCCTGCCTTGCCAGTAGATCACAGACTGCTGTGCTAGCAATGAGGGAGGCTCCGTGGGTGTGGGACCCTCCCGGCCAGGTGTGGGATATGATCTCCTGGTGTGCCTGTTTGCTTAAAGCGCAGTATTTGGGTGGGAGTTACCCGATTTTCCAGGTGTTGTGTGTCTCAGTTCCCCTGGCTAGGAAAAGGGATTCCCTTCCCCCTTACGCTTCCCAGGTGAGGCAATGCCTCGCCCTGCTTCAGCTCTCGCTGGTCGGGCTGCAGCAGCTGACCAGCACCGATCGTCTGGCACTCCCCAGTGACATGAACCCAGTACCTCAGTTGAAAATGCAGAAATCACCGGTCTTCTGTGTTGCTCGCGCTGGGAGTTGGAGACTGGAGCTGTTCCTATTCGGCCATCTTGCTCTGCCCCTCTGCTATGCTTAAATTCTTATTAACATTTCTACCTTTTTTTTTTTTTTTTTTTTTTTTTTGCTATCCCTTATTCTTCTATCAATTATTTTCAAAATGACTTAAAATATTTTTAAAAATATTTTTAAAAATTAAAAGGGCTTTTTGGCCCCAGATGGCAAATGGTGATTTTTTTTCCCTGGTATAATGAAGGTAAATGAGCTCTACTTGATGTATTTCAGTAAGTATATCAATGTACATCAATAAGTGAATGGATAAAGGAATGACTAGACCCAATCAGTAAGAATGTGAGGTGACATTCAAAAAGAATATACAATAAAAGAAAGCAAAATAGAAAGGAGATCAAAGTGAAGGAAAAACACTTCTTTATTTTCAATTTCAGTGCTTGAGAAATAGAGCCAAATGTAGCTACTGGTTGTAGCAACTACTGCAGTCTTCTTAGCTACAGAGAAGCCATGACTGCTCCTGTGCTGCTCATCAACATTTCAGTTACAAAGTGAACCCAACTCCATGCCCAGTTCAGTTACAAAGTTGGAGACAGAGTTGTGCCTACTTACAGGTATGTTATCTGAAAGAAGATATTGTGAGAACACAGAGTCTTATGACTTTGAAAACAATATATTACACATCAAAATGCAATGTTTAATGAGTCTGCTTTCTGTTCCTATAAGCCAACTCCAACTCACTGCTTTGCAACTTGAGCCTTTATTCTTTATGCAACACTTATACTTCATTTCTTTTTTATTTTTTATTTTGTTATTTTATTTATTTATTTATTTATTTATTTATTATTATTATTATACTTTAAGTTCTAGGGTACATGTGCATAACGTGCAGGTTTGTTACATATGTATACTTGTGCCATGTTGGTGTGCTGCACCCATCAACTCGTCAGCACCCATCAGCTCGTCATTTACATCAGGTATAACTCCCAGTGCAATCCCTCCCCCCTCCCCCCTCACCCCTCCCCATGATAGGCCCCGGTGTGTGATGTCCCCCTTCCCGAGTGCAAGTGATCTCATTGTTCAGTTCCCACCTATGAGTGAGAACATGCGGTGTTTGGTTTTCTGTTCTTGTGATAGTTTGCTAAGAATGATGGTTTCCAGCTGCATCCATGTCCCTACAAAGGACACAAACTCATCCTTTTTTATGGCTGCATAGTAAAGACACATGCACACGTATGTTTATTGCGGCACTATTCACAATAGCAAAGACTTGGAATCAACCCAAATGTCCATCAGTGACAGACTGGATTAAGAAAATGTGGCACATGTACACCATGGAATACTTATACTTCATTTCTTGCTGCCTTTCCCTTCTCAGTTGACAGTTCCAGTTTCCACACAGGCAAAAACAAAAACAAAAACAAAAAACAAACACAACAACAAAAATAGCTGCATTTAAATATATATTTAAAATTTATGATGTATATGGAAGGATGTTTATGGCAGCATTATTGATATTACTGATGAATTTAGGATAACTTTAATGACCGTAAATATGGGAAGGACTAAATAAAACACCATACACTGATATTCTGGAATATTACGGAGCTACTAAAAATAATATAGTACTGGTATTAAAGGCTATTCATGAGTATATTTCTGAGTAAAAAGAAGGAAGTTATAGAATAATATGTTTAACAAGATCCCATTAAAAAGAAGTGATCCTCTCTCTATAGGTATATTAAATGTATATTGCATGTATACAAACATATGCAATACACACATATATTTTATACACACATATATGTTATACAGTATATGTGTTTGTATGTTTTAAAAGACTGGAAAGATACTTGTTGGATTTGTAAGTGATCATTCCAGGGGAGTGGGAATGGGGGTAATTTTTACTTTTAATTTTAAACATTTCTGTATTGTTTTTTCTTGTTTAACAAGGAGGTAATACATTAATAATTCAAAACTTTTTTTAAAGATAGAGCATATCTGCTATTGAGAGTGTACTTTATAAGTGATGTCCACTTTTTTTTCTCTTTCTCTCTCTCTCTCTGTCTTTTTTTTTTGTAGAGATGGGGTCTTGCTATGCTGCCCAGGCTGGTCTAAAATTCCTGTCCTCAAGCAGTCCTCCTGTCTTGGCCTCCCAAAGTGGTAAGATTACAGGCATGATCCACTACACCTGGCTGGATGTCCATTTTTATGTATTCTCTCTAAAAATGCATTATGTGTACAACTGGGTCTTCAGTATCTGACTTTTCATCCCAGGCTCAAATGTTTCCTAGACTCTTAAACTTGACATCGTCACTTCTGAAGCATAGAAAAGGCACAGAGCGATAAAATGATTTTTAAAAAAGGCATCATCCAAGTTCTTGATAGTGGTAAGTCAATAAACTAAATCATAATTAATATTTTGCTTAGCTACTGATGCAGTGATATCAAATTTTATTAAATATGATTAATTAAAATATTGTTGTAAATAAACACAAATCGCTGACCCCCTCAAAGTCTTTGCAGCGACTTTTGAGAAGTGCAGCTCCAAGACTGACTTGGGTTTTTCCACTCCCAGTCTCATCCTCAGACAGCCCAATTACTGGGAAACACAAAGCTGAATTTGAAATTATTTTATGGGGGCGATTTTTCTGTCCCCCTACTCCCACTTTCAACTCAATTAAGAATGCTTTCTTGTTTGACGATTGCCTGATTGTGGGATATCTTCATGTAAACTCCCCCGAAATGGAATCATGGATAGATATGTTGTAACAAACTGTACCTTCCCTGATTGCTTTTTTCGAAAATGCGTTAGTTCTACCTTCTTTTAAAAAATTCATTAATTCGTTTATTTCTGCAAAGAGGGAGTGCCTTTATCTAAGTCAACACACACACACACACACACACACCCACACCCACACCCACACCACACACACGAATACCCAGGTATTCAGGCCCATGCAGTCAGTCATTTACTAAACCAATCTAGGCCGGAGAGACTGTCATCCTTCAGCTCTACAAAGGGGCTCAGTGTGTGCATCTTGCGCGGATTTAGTGCAGGCAAACAGTTCCTGGAAGGGTGAACAGCTAGCTCATGTGTAAAATGATCGCACATCAGTTCCCCAGCTGCCGCAGCCCAGCGCCGGAGCCGGAGAGGCCAGGGCAGAGCTTTCCCCCTAGCCAGCCAGGCAGAGACGCGGGAACATAAAACACATTCCAGCGGTTGGCATCTGGGCGCGCAGCTGCCAGGCGCAGCCACTGTGTGGCCGCCGGGGCTGCGGGGCGGGCGGGGGCAGAGCAGGTCCGGCGCCAGGCCTGCAGAAAGCGGCCTGCGGGCCAGTTTGGCTCTGCAGGCTGTGGCCTCATTACTGAGAGCAACAGTTTTATCTAGAAAGTGTGCTGCAGGGGGTTTTGGAATCCCCCTCTGGGGCGAGGGCTTGGGGAGTAGCTTTGGCACTCCCAAGGCTCTGGGGTCGGGGAGCATTCCATGTACCTTGGTGTTCATGACTCAGGCAAAAGGGAAACCCCAGAATTACCACAAAGCCATTCCAATCCTGGTTTGGCATCACCAATCAGCTAAAAGCAATGTTTTCATTTAGCATTTAGGAGTGCACGTTTGTATCTGTGTATGCGTATGCATATTTTTAAGAATGAATTCTACTCCCGATTTTCATCTTTGCAAATAGATTGGGGGTTGGGGGTAGATGGCCGGTAATGCCTATTAGAACTTCAAGGGATTGGTTTTCACATGAGAGAGCTTCAGAAATGAGAAATCGCTGAAATTATCTGGTAGCAGCTTCTGAGGGACATTTACCGTGGATTCACTTTTACATTTCAGTTCATTTGAAAGCCAGTATGGTTAAATTAACCAAAATCTAAATTAAAAAAAAATTCCACGATTCTTCCAGGCCTACTTCACATCATCAAACCAGGCCCTGCTGGAGGCCCCATTAAAATGGCAGCTCCCACTGAGAGAGAGACAAAAGCCCCCTCTCTGAATGGGGATGCTGAAACAGTGATGGACTCTCAGAACTGCTTTTTTTTTTTTTTTTTAATCCATTAAAAAAAAGTTACCTCTGCATTGACTGTGAGAGAGTATTTATTTCGCTCTCCACACTGTGGGAAACAGAGGCGATCTCCCTTATAAGGACACCCAGACCTTCTAGGGAGAGGAGAGAAATATGAATCCATAACATGGCTGAACAAATTCCTCCTCGCAACTGAATTCATGGAATGTTTCAGACGTGAACAGCTTAATTTTGGTGTGGTCTGGGACAAATTAATATGACTCAAATCCCACCTCACAGAGGAAGCATCTCCTGATGAAGTGGGTGGAGTGAGTACACTCACTTCCTTCAAAATTCTGTCGAACAATCATCTCTATTAAATTTAAATATGTCTCACCCTCTTCCCCAGCAAGAAAAAAAAAAAAAACTAAAAAAGAAAAAAAAAATAGGGAAATCAAGAACAAACTGAAAATATATCTAAAAAGCCTAAGTGTTCGGCAAATGATTATGTGAAATTTTAGGCTGTATGAATGATAATGAGTTTGTATACAACAGAATAAAAGCTTCTAGAGGGTAGTCCAGAAACTTTGTATTTTGGGAGTGAATACATTAAACAAGATTGCTCTTTTAGGTTCTCACGAAATCCCATTATTGTTATTCCAACCCGGAAGGCTTAGGGATGAACAAAGACGTATCACTCTCTTCTTCCAGAAGATGAACTGGACTTTTCACCTTAACACTTAATCGGACATCACTCTTCTCCCATGGAGATGCTCAGTCTCTAGCAGGGAAGGACATTTATATATGAAAATGAACTGTGATGTTATCCTCTCCAGGACTAAGTTTACTGACTTTTGCAAAATGGGAATAATTTCTTCACTCTTTCAAAATGGAAAAATGATTTCTAGCACATATGGGAGTAGGTTCTCGAGTGAAAGTTACTGTAAATATTAGATAGACAGTGGGATTTAGGAACCCCCTTGCATGTGGCTCACACACATTACCTTGTATTTATAGAAGGCAGTAGTGAGGAAGATTACTTTTCAATGATCAGAAATAGAAATCATGTTTATTTGACTCTGAACTGCATGATATGCTTATTCTTTCTACATATTTAGGCATGTAATTATGTTTGGGTTTGGTTAGTGTTAAAAATTAGATTACATTTCCTGAACCGCTGATAATCAGCAGAAGTTCTTCAAGAAGCAAGATGGGTTGTTAGGCACTTTGAGGTGGAATGCCAGCCAAGATGACATTTTTGAGATGCCCTTGGGCTGCATAAGCACATGAGATCATTAGAGACCATGAAATGCTGACAAACCCAGTGCGATAACACCACTCTGTGTGACAATCTCTGTAGTGGTAAAGGCTGTATATGTACTCTCGAACAGTGCTCCCATTCTAGGGTGGGGTTCTCAGAACGCATGTCCCTTTCCAGATGTATCTGCTATACTTAGTTTTTCTATAAGAACACTATTTTGATCAGGAATCAATAGGAGAGACATTTAATTTAATATCAGTGTTAAGAGCCTTTGAAAATGCTTATTAATAAAAGATACAAATTTATGCATTCCCAACCCCGTCTCTACTAAAAATACAAAAAAATAAGCCGGGCGAGGTGGCGGGCGCCTGTAGTCCCAGCTGCTCGGGAGGCTGAGGCAGGAGAATTGCGCGAACCCGGGAGGCAGAGCTTGCAGTGAGCAGAGAGCGGGCCACTGCACTCCAGCCTGGGTGATAGAGCGAGACTCCGTCTCAAAAAAAAAAAAAAAAAAAAAAGAATCATACACCATCAGAGGTAAAAGGAACATCCTTCAGAATCGGTTTTCAAATTTTTTTTTTTTTTGCTTGAAATAGACTCCTTTTAAAAATGGAATAAAAAGAAATAAAAGTCTACATGGCATTCCAATATGTAAAATAATACCAGTATGTCTTACTGAATGGGGGAAATAAATAGAGTTCCAGAAGTTCATTTTGAAAATCACTGTGTTAACATGTTTCCTAAACTTCCTGAAGAAGAATCTGTATGAATCATCTGAGGATGCAAAGGAATAGTAACAAACACAGAAATCCTAAAATATCGGGGAAATGGTATCATTGTACTAAGATGGCACCTACTCGTATACAGATGAAGAAATGGGAGCCTGATTGTTTGTGACAAATGGCCAAAGGTTGCACAGCTCCTTTAGGACAAATTCAGGACCCAAATTCATTGTTTTTTCCCCAGCTTGCAGTTCACTATCTGATGCCGCCTCTGGAGTCTGGAATGCCTTTGAAATCAGGCTGTATGACACTCTAATCAATTTTAATGATCTAAAGCTTTTATAAATTGGTGAAAAATTTTATAGCACAAAACAACTTTCTACATTGTTCTGCACTGCCACAAAATCAGTCATGATTCTCAGGGATATTTTTATGTCCATATGTTGATGATAATCATTCCTTATATTTATGAGGCTCAATATGCATGGCTTAAACACCACCACATGCATTCTGGAATTGGACATAGGACATGACATCCCTGACCAGTAAATCCCTTGAATGAGTGCATTTTCCCCCTCTGTGCATGTCTCCTTCTCGTCCATTGTCTGTCTCCTTTTCATGCCTGTCAGGCGGTGGCCATGACTGTGCACTTATAAAGGTCAGTGACCCAGCAGAGAGGGCAGGCCCTGCAGAAGGCGTGTTGATGAAGCATTACAATGCACACTGAATTTGTTAGCTCTCTGGCTTACTCCCAGGGGCAGGCTACAATTGTTTCCTGTGTGGCATGGCACTCACCCGGAACTCTTATGGTATGGGCCATTCCAACCAGGAATCTCTAAACCACATCCTACAAAATAAACACCCATGTTTCCCAGCTCACTAGATTCTTATACCTGGCTCTCCTTCCCTCAATTTGTACACTATACCCAGTGAAATGAATTAAAACAGAGTTATCTCTTATTTATATAAACAGTCAGCCACAGGGAGGTTTTTAAGGGATTATCTGCAAAACTGGGAGGCCACATAGATAATAATAAACTCACATCTTTCAGGTTGAAAACTTTTAGAAGGCTGAGGTCCTAAGCCTCTTTATATTACAAATACTAAATTAAACAAAAACAGACATGGCATTTCCTTTGAGATTGTCTTAAGAAAGGCAAGCATTTATTTCTCTCTTTGGAGCATTTACCTTTTAGTAAAGCAATGATGATCTAGAAATGGAAACTTGTAATTCAAAAGTAAAAGTTTCACCTAAAATTTCAAACTTGCTGTAATTTTATGCTACATGTGAAAAACTTTTTACTTAAGTGAAATAGAATGAAAAAGTTGCCTGCATGTGTTCTGGTTCTGGTTATGCTGCAGTCGTTTGTATCAGACTGCCCTTCCTATAGATAACAATTGTGAACTCTGGACAAAATATTAAAAGACATCAATTTAATACTGGGGAGACAACAAAGCAGCCAAAAACTAGAGAGAATTTGATCCTTGAATTAAGGAACCAAATTAGATAAAATCAATGTATTTATTGATGTTTTTATAGGTGCTCTACAGTCCACTTGGTGCAGGACAGCTAGAATTGAAGCAAAAAGTTAGTCTTATTGACCTGAGGAGTCAAAGGATAGTGTTTGGAGCTATCACAACATCTGGAAATTAAGGGGTAAAAATCCCAGAGAGAAAGATCACAGAGCAGATAGGTAGGCCCCAAATCTGCTCATAATCTCCTCTCTAATCTTTGGTGAGCCTCACCTGCACATGTGAAAGGGAAACTCCAAGGTGACCAGTGAAAACCTGTAGCTGAGAGACTGAAAGAACAGAACAGAAATCTTTAAACTCTTGTTCACTGCACCAAGACAGAGTTTAGAGTTTGAGTCCTGCCAAGTTTGAGGAGCTTGGTAGTTTTTCAAGATTACCACTTAGACTCTCGAAAAGTCATGCTTTAGTTATAAAGGCTAGTTATCAGATTCCAGAGATTTGCTTTAGGACTAATAACACAATGGAAACAGACCCCATCAGAGCATAAAATCAAGCCTCTAAAAGTTCATGGTGAGCTGCCAGTAATTTAAATGCCATGGACCACAAGATTCTGTACTGTTGAGAGGAAAAAACAGAAACTAGAGTTTATAATGTATTCTTTACGATGTCCAGTATACACCAAAATAGTACTAGACATACATATGAAGAAATGGGGAAATGCGACCAAACAGTAAATGATCCAAGATGACTTGGATGTTACAAAGACTTAAAATTAGCTATTATATATTTGTTTAAGGAATTAAAGAATAAGATAGTCATAATAAGTGGACAGATGGAGTATTTCAGCAAAAAAAAAGGAAACTAAAAAAGAATGAAATATAAATTTTCAAGCTAAAAAGCACAGTGTTTGAAATAACATTTACTGGATGAATTTAAGAGCAAAGGATTAGGGAATTAGAAGACATCATAGAAACTATCCAGTCTGAAGAATAGAGAGAATAAAAATTATGTGAAACTGTGTGTGAAGAGAGCTTTAAGGTCCTGTGGGAAAGTATCAAATAATCCAATCTATATAAATTGGCTTCCTGGAAAAAGAAGACAGGGAAAAGGAAAAAATTTAAAAAATAATAGATGTATAATGGAAAATAAATCAAGTTATAAAGCCACGCAGCTCAGCAAACTGGAAGCAAGGCAAGTGCAACAAAACAAAACAAAACAAACAAACATGTAGGCACAGTTTTGCCAAAGTTGTCAGAGGAAAAAGATCACATACAGGGATCAATGATATAATTAATCACCTTCTTTTCAACAGAAGCAATGAGACAGATACAATGTAACAACATCTTTAAAGTGCTGAATGATCATACCTGTCCATCTGGAATTCTACATCCTGCTAAAATATCCTTCAAAAATGAAAATAAAGGCTGACCTGCTAACGGTATATTAAAGGAACATTTTCAGACCAAAGAAAATAAAACTAAGTACGAACTCAGATCAACAGAAGAAATAACACCAAAAATGTTTTTTTAAAAGTGAGTAAATATACAATATTTTTTCTTCCTTTTTTAAAAAATGTAGCTCATTGTTTAAAGCAACATTTAATTGTGGCATTATAATATATGTTGATATATAGCATGTGCCTGGGAATTAATGGAATGTTACAGTTTCTGGGCTTTTACATTTTACATAAGGGGGTCAAACATTCACTCTGAATAGACTGTGGTGAGTCAATAATGCATGTTATAATACCTAGAGTAATTACTTTTAAAATACAAAAATATATAGTTAAATCCATGGGAAAACTAAAACGAATACTATAAAAGTGTGATTAAGCAAAAATAATGTAGGAAAGGAGAAACAAAGGAAAATGATGGAGTAAATAGAGAATAAATAACAAAATGGTAAACCTAAATCCAACTATGTCAATACTTAACGCTACACATAAATGGATTAAACGCTAACTAAAAGACAAATATTGCCAAATAATATAAAAAAGCAAAATTCCACCATAAACAGTCTATCAGATGTGCACCTTAAATATAAAGATACAGATAGGTTGGAAATAAAAGTAAAAATATATAGCATGCAAACTGTGAGCAAGAGAAACATGGTGTAACTGTGTTAACCCTAGAGAAATGCAGACTTCAAGTAAAGGATTGTTAGTAGAACTTAAAGGCATTTCATAATGCTAAAGGATCAATTCATCAGAAAGACGAAATAATTATAAATGTATATGCAGTTAATAATAAAACTTCAACATATAAGGAGCAAAAACTGACAGAACTAAAGAGGGGACTAAAATAATCCACAATTATAAAGACCTAACATCACCCTCCCAGTAACTGAAAGAATAACTACATGAAAAATTAGGCCGGGCATGGTGGCTCACGCCTGTAATCCCAGCACTTTGGGAGGCTGAGGCGGGCACATCACGAGGTCAGGAGATTGAGACCATCATGGCTAACACGGTGAAACTCTCTTCTCTACTAGGAAAAAAAAAAAAAAACAAAAAAAAACAAGCCAGGCGTGATGGCAGGTGCCTGTAGTCCCAGCTACTCAGGAGGCTGAGGCAGGAGAATGGCATGAACCTGGGAGGTGGAGCTTGCAGCGAGCTGAGATCGCACTACTGCACTGCAGCCTGGGCAATAGAGTGAGACTTCATCTCAAATAATAATGATAATAATAATAATAATAATAATAATAATAATAATAATATAGGAGATTTTGATACTAAGAACCATCTTGACCTAACTGACATTCACAGAATGCTGTAACCAGTAACTTCAGAAGATATGTTCTTTTTAAGTATGTAAAGAGCATTCATCAAGATAGACCATATGCTGGGCCATAAAATAAGACTCAAATTTCAAATGATTGGCATTTTACAAAGATATTTTCTTACCACAGAGGAGTTAAATTAGAAATTAATTACAATAAGATCTCTTGAAGACTGCTAAATGAACTGTAGGTTAAAGAAGAAATCACAAGAAAAATGAGAAACTTTAAAAATGAATGATAATGAACATATAACATATCAAAATTTGTGGAATGCAGGTAAATCAGTTCTTAGAAGAAACACACTTTGAAATGTTTATATTTTAGTTGGGCTGGGAGCGTGGCTCACACCTGTAATCCCAGCGCTTTGGAGGCCTAGGTGGGCAGATCCTTTGAGGTCGGGAGTTTGAGACCAGCCTGGCCAACATAGCGAAACCCTGTCTCTACTAAAAATACAAATATTTTTATTCTGGGGCATGGTGGCACATGCCTGTAATCCCAGCTGCTCAGGAGGCTGAGGCAGAAGAATTGCTTGAGCCGGGGGAAGTGGTGGTTACAGTGAGCTGAGATCGCACCTCTGCACTCCAGCTTGGGAGACAGAGCCAGAACCTGTATCAAAAAAAAAAAAAAAAAAAAAAAAAAAGCTGATATTTTAGTTAAAGAAAGGTGTCAAATCAATGATGTAAATTTTCATTTTAAGCTACTACAAAAAGAACAAATTAAACTCAGTTAAACCATATATATGTAAATAATAGAAATAATAAATGTGAAAGTAGAAATCAATGCAATAGAAAAGAATAAAGAAAATTAACAAAAGACACAAGTTGTTTCTTTGGAAAGAGTAATAAAATTATAAACTCCTAGCGAACAAATTACTAATATCAGGAATAAAATAAAACTATAGAGCCTATAGACCAGCAGTCCCCAACCTTTCTGGCTCCAGGGACCAGTTTTGTGGAAGACAATTTTTTCATGAAACAATTGGGGAGTGCGTGGTTTCGGGATGAAACTCTTCCACCTCAGATCATCAGGTATTCAATTCTCATAAAAGGTGTACAACCTAGATCTCTTGCATGCACAGCTCACAATAGGGTTAGTGCTCCTAGGAGAATTTAATACCACCGCTGATCTGACAGGAGGCGGAGCTCAGGAGGTAATGCTTGCTCGCTCACTGCATGCCTTCTGCTGTGTGGCCCAGGTTCTACACAGGCCATGGACCAGTACCTGTCTGTGGCCCGGGGATTGGGGACCCCTGCTATAGACATTAAAAGAATAATAAAATAAGGGTGACTTATGTCTTTATGACAGTACTGGAAAAATTGGGTAAATGTGTAGTAAAAATGATCCTCAGCTTCTACCTCACATAATACACAGAAATTAATCAGATGGATTATTACAGATCTGAACCTAAAACCTAAAACTTGACTGTTACTAGAAGAAAACAGGACAATATTGGATCCATTAATTAAAAACAGTAAGCCACAGACTGTGAGAAAATATTTATAATACTCATATCCTACAAAGGATTTATATAGTGAATACATAAATAACTCTTACAAGTCAACAATTGGAAAAACAAATAAGAAGTGTAATAGATAGACAAAATACTTGGACAGATACTTCCCAAAAGATATGTACAAGAATAAATGCTCAAATATCATTAATTGTCAGGGACATAAAAACTAAAACTATAATAATATATCATTTTATATAAAATGTTGGTGAGACTGTGGAACCCCTAAAAATTTCATACAGTGCTGATTAATATATAAAATGGTACCATTTGGTAATTTCTTATGAAGATAAACATAGAACAGCCTTATCACTCAGCATTTCTACTCCTATAAACTTAGCCAAAGGAACAGAAAATATGTCCATAAAAATATGTACAGGAGGGTATTCATGGAAGCTGGGATTTATTGAAGAGAGTATATGGGAACTTTCTGAGGTGATAGAAATATCCTCTATTATATTTAGCAAAACTCATTGACTTGTATGTATACTTAAGATCTGTGACCTTCACTGTATGTTAATTTTAGCTCCAGCCATCACAAAGCCAAGAAACAAACCTCATGAATGCCACTATTTCCCCTTGAGAAAAAGCAACAATGTCACAAAACGTTGATAAAAGTGGGTGAAAAGTATTCTTAAATGAAGATCCTGAAGCCTCTGTGTACTTTCTAGTCATTGCTCCCATTTGTCTGTTTTGTGAAATAGTAGTAGTTTCTATTTATGAAAAGGTTTAAAAGAAAGCTAAAATAATAACTGGTAGAAGCATAACTTCTAGAACCTTAGGAAGACAATTTAGCAATGTCTGTGAAAACTCAAATTGCTCTTACCTTTGACCAGCAACCCCCCTTGTTGACACCTATTCCACAGAAATATTCACATTAAATGTATAAAGATAGACGTGGACAAAAATTTCACTGTAGCATATCTTGGAACAGGAGCAAACTAGAGACTGCTAAATGTCTACTGATAGGAGAATAGTTAACAAATTATGGCACATCTATGCTAACAAATACTGTGCAGCTGTTAAAAGAAAATATAAATATTAGATGTCTACAAGACAGTCTTGTGTGAAAGAAGCAGGCTGCAGAACAAAATGCACAATATTATCTGTTTTGAAATAACTTCCTCCATTCTCTCTTCTTTTTCTCTGCTTTTCTCCTTCCTTTTGCTTTGTGAATGCATATAAAATGACCCAAAGGATACACATTAAACTTTTATCAGTGGTTACCACCTGGAGAGAGGGTGTGGAGAGATGGTGAGAACTTTCATTTTTTTTTTTTTTTTTTGCTTTCTATATGCCTATATTGTTTGATATACACATAATGGATGTATGGTTGTTTTGTAATTTAAAAAAGAAAAGAGTGGCTTGCACCTGTAGTCCCAGCTACTTCTTCGAAGGCTGAGATTGGAGGATCACCTGAGCCAAGGAGGTGGAGGCTGCAGACGGGATCTCACCTCCATACTCTAACCTAGGTGAGAGTGAGACCCTGTCTTTAAAAAAAAAAAAAAAAAAAAAAAGAAAGAAATAAAGAAAGAAAAGAAGAAGAAAAAGACAAAAGGAAATGAAGGAAAAGGAAAGTAAAGGAAGGAAGAAGAAAAAAACAGAAGGAAGGAAGGAAAGAGAGGGGAGGAGAGAGGAAGGAAAAGAGGAGCCGGGAGAAGAAGGAGAGGAGGGAAACATAGGAAGGGAGACTGCAGGTCTCTGAAATGCAGAAGCAAAGACAATCATATGGTCAATGTTCTGAATTGCTCAGGGCTTGGCAGAATGATCCCTCTAGTCTATGGACCATAGATTTGATCTCTGCACCTTGAGAAGGTAATTAATATTTCTTAATTTTAAAGACAGAGTAGTCGATTCCACAACTTCCCTTGGTAACATTTTTATGTATACTGATCTTTACCTTCAGGTTATTACTTCCTTATATCTGAGGACTTCTGTCACCGGGCTAGAAATGGAATCACTGATCATCACATATCATTACACACAATGTTAACTTTCAGTTAATCTTAATGTTAAAGGAGGAACAATGACTTGGAGGAGGAAACTCCCCCCTCATAAATAAATAAAAATATATATGTGTATATATATCCTATCACGTTATATATATATCATATATATATTATATACATATGCATATGATATATATATATGTATCCTATCACGTTAAAGCCAGAAGAACTTGAGGAACAGTGGTGTACTGTACCTGCATAGCCTTGGAGTCAGGCAAGAATGAAAGCCAGCTCTGTCTCCTACCAGCTGTTTGCTTTGAGCAAACTAACTTTCTTGAGCCTCAGTTTCCTTATTTGGAAAATAGTTAGAATCATAATAGTAACGATGATAATAACAACTCCTAACTTGCAGGCCTTTTGTGAGGATTACAAATAATTAATTGGCCAGGACTTTGAGTATTATAAAGAATTAATTGGGCCGGGCGCGGTGGCTCACGCCTGTAATCCCAGCACTTTGGGAGGCCGAGGCGGGCGGATCACAAGGTCAGGAGATCGAGACCATCCTGGCTAACTTGGTGACACCCCGTCTCTACTAAAAATACAAAAAACTAGCCGAGCGTGGTGGCGGGCGCCTGTAGTCCCAGCTACTCGGGAGGCTGAGGCAGGAGAATGGCGTAAACCCAGGAGGCGGAGCTTGCAGTGAGCGGAGGAGATCGCGCCACTTGCACTCCAGCCTGGGCAAGAGCGAGACTCCGTCTCAAAAAAACAAAAAACAAAAAACAAACAACCAAAAAAAAAGAATTAATTGGTCAGGTTCACCCCTGTTATCCCAGCAATTTGGGAGGGTGGGGTGGAAGGATCAGTTGAACCGAGGAGTTCGAGATCAGTCTGGGCAACATAATGTGACCCCATCTACGAAAAACAAACAAACCAACCTGGGTGTGGTGGCGCATGCTTGTGGTCCCAGCTACTCTAGAAACTGAGGCAGGAGGATGGCTTGAGTCCAGGAGGTTGAGGCTGCAGTGAGCCATGATTGTGCAGTGGCACTCCAGCCTGGGTGACAGAGTGAGATCCTGCCTAAGAAAAAAAAAAAAAAAAAAAAAGAATTAATGAAAGCACCTGTGTTTAATCATGATTATGTTTAATGGAACCCCGTAAGGTAACCTAAAATGCTACTGGAGATAAAAACCCATCTCTCTTTACTTCACGGTCATAACTCCGTAACTGTTCCAAGGTTGGATCTCTTTACAACAGGCTTTTGTGAGATAGTCTCTTAATGATAACATTTGGGCTATTAGTAATTTACTGACAGTTGCTCATAGCTACCTGCCTTGTTGGGATCCACTTTAGAGTTCATAAGAGCCTAATATGCACCTATTCTGGGATGTGAAGGGTTATTCTCTAGATGAGGATTGTGGGCAGATGTCCTTCAACCTCAGTGGAAAGGCCCACACTACAGGCAATGGGATTACACTTCATCAGGAGAGATTTAGGTTAGATGGGAAGAGAACTTTCTGACTGATGATTTCCTTCCTTGAAGTCTTTAAAAATAGACTAGTTCCTCGTCTGTCAGTTTTCAAGATGCTGGGGGTTAGAACAGACGGTTTTTCAAGATCCCTTTTAATTCCATGTGTTGCTTACGTCACAGGGCTGTATTTCTAAGAGCCATACTCTTTATTGCAAATGTGTATAGAGACAATTTAGAGACCTTTTATTTTTTTCCCCAAAGCAATGGGAAATGCTTTCTGTCTTGCCTGCCTCTCGAAGGGCCTATAGAATAACACAGAATTGTTTTAGCAAGTTAAAGAATAATTAATGGAAAATATGCAGAGATTTAAAATAACTATTGTGTAATAAAAATTTATATTTGTATTGCACATTAAAAATGTTACTGTATTATTTCCTCATTATTAGTTGTTTGAGTCAAACCTAAAACAGCATTGAACTGAGTCTGAAATCTAATTCGTTGAACGCCATTGAGTCTCGACCCCACCAGGCTGAAAAATGAGAATAAATATAAAGTAACACTGCCATCTAATGGATTCTATGTGTTACTGCCATTGTCTGAGGTAGCATTTACACTCAGATCTAACTCTAATGAATCATTGATATATTCTACCACCTTATTTTGTGTTTTTAATTCACCGTTTTTTTCTCTGTATTTTTTTCCTATAATCTGTTGGATTGGTTTTTTAAATTCTTTCTTTTGTCATTTTAGGATATATTGTTATTACTGTTTTCTTTTATATTTCATCTCATACTATTTTTATTATGAAATAGTTCAAATATACAAATGAGTATATGGTGACCTATGTGCCCACACCTTAGCTTTATGGAGTTTTAATAAACCTAACTTCCTGCTATAAGTGCTTCAGATTTTTTAAAAGGAGAAAACATTACAGATTTAGTCAAAGACTATATTTCTTCTCAATTCTATTTCCCTCTGTCTCCAGAGTTAATCTTTCTCATGAGTTTGATGGTCATTAATTCCATACATGTTTTAAGGTTTTATTCTGTATTTTCTAATTAAACAATATATTTCAGCAGTTTTAAATTAAAAAGTGTTTATACAAATATGTCTGCTGCTGCATTAACATTATATTTTTGACATTCATTCATGTTGATTCGTGTACCTCTGGCTGATCATTTTAATACCTGTATAGTAATATTTCATTTATATGTGTACATTTTTTCCAACTTAGTCTCCTGTTGATGGACATTGAGTATTTACCCCAAGTTTTCCTTTTTTCAAGCAATGTTAGAATAACATTCTTTTACATTTCTTCCTGTACACGTGTGTGAGAATTTCTGTAAAGTGACACTTTTGCTTATGCATCCTCTAAAATAATCTTCAAGAACTATGTAATTCCTTAAACAATTTATTTGAGAGACAGGGTCTTGCTATGTTACTGAGGTTGGAGTGCAGTGGTGTGGTCACAGCTCACTGCAACCTCAAACTCCTGGGTTCAAGTGATCATCCCACCTCAGCCTCGCAAGTAACTAGGACTACAGCTGCATGCCATCACACCCAGTTAGTTTTTAAAAACATTTTTTGTAGAGATGGGGTCTTGCTATGTTGCTCATGCTGGTCTTGAACTCCTGGCTCTTGTGAGGCCAAGTGATCCTCCTGCCTCAGCCTCCCAAAGTGCTGCGATTACAGGTGTGAGCCACTGTGCCTGGCTTCCTTGAACATTTTCAAGATAACATGAAAAATTTTTTATTTTACATTTCAATAGTAGTAAATGATATGATTTTGGGTTTATTAAAATATTGATATTTTAAAACAATAGTTCAAATATTGAGGCAGCACCACCATCAGTATAAAGAAACATGAAGATGCTCTACTGGAATAGTCAAATTTTACATTGTTCCTTTTTCTCCTTACACTCACATTTCCATTTCACTCCACAGAGTTTTATCCCAATGCATTCCTTTAATGTATGGACATATTTTCTCAATCATCTTCATATTTCTCCATAATACACTATAAATCAAAAATTAACAAAACATTTTTTCTCTGTGATTAAAAGACTGAAAGGTAAAGCATTTTATTCTGTATTGAATTATTAGCACTATTATTAGTATTATAAAATTGGTCAAAGCAAGACAATAATTATTTTGATAAGTAGTTATTAGGCATAAATATTAAAACTGTAAATATTAAAAATATATTTTGATGAAATATATTTGAGCTTCTTTTTCAGTTACGGGCATACCTCAGAGATAGTGCAGATTTAGACAGTAGCATTCTGTCTGAAAACCAATGTATATACTTAAATTAAAATACTTTATTGCTAAACAATGCCAACAACCATCTGAATCTTCAGTGAATTGTAATCATTTTACTGGTGGAGGGTCTTGCCTCGATGTTGATGACTGCTGACTGTTCAGGGTGGTGGCTGTTGAAGGCTGGGGTGGCTGTAGCAATTTGTTAAAATAGGATAATGAAGTTTGCTACATCCATTGACTATTCCTTTTATGAAAAGTTTCTCTGTCATACAATGCTCTTTGATAGCATTTTACCCACAGTAGAACTTCTTTCAAAATTTGGGTCAATCCTTTTAAACCTGTTGCTGTTTTATCAACTAATTTTATGTATAATAATATTCTAAATCCTTTGTTGTTATTTCAACAATGTTCACAACATCTTCACCAGGAGTAGATTCTATCTCAAGAAACCACTTTTTTTGGCTCATCCATAAGAAGTAACTCCTCACTGTTTCATCATAAGATTGTAGCAATTACGGCCGGGCGCGGTGGCTCAAGCCTGTAATCCCAGCACTTTGGGAGGCCGAGATGGGTGGATCACGAGGTCAGGAGATCGAGACCATCCTGGCTAACACGGTGAAACCCCATCTCTACCAAAAATACAAAAAAATTAGCCGGGCGTGGTGGCAGGCGCCTGTAGTCCCAGCTACTCGGGAGGCTGAGGCAGGAGAATGGTGTGAACCCAGGAGGTGGAGCTTGCAGTGAGCCGAGATAGTGCCACTGCACTCCAGCCTGGGCGACAGAGCAAGACTCCGCCTCAAAAAAAAAAAAAAAAAAAAAAAAAAAAAA